TATGCTGACGATTGTCTCTTTGAAGATCCAACCATCAGGTTTCGAGGTAATAATAATCACAGAAACTTTTAGTAACTAAATTGTGTAGTCCTCCATCACAATGGCTGTAATAGCCCAAGCTCACCATTAACAGATATTGTCCTCTTTGAACTTTTCCTTTCGATTTTTTCCTCAAGGTTTTTAAAACACGTCTGCTAGAGAGAGGTTTCCACACCCTTATAAATAATGTTTCGTTCCCCTCTCCAACCGACGTGGGATCTCACAATCCACCCCCTTTGGGGCCAGTGTCTTCACTGACACTTGTTCTCCTCTCCAATCGATGTGGGCTCTCACAATTCACCCCCCTCGAGGCTCAGCGTCCTCGCTGGCACACTGCTCGGTGTCTGACTCTGATACCATTTGTAACAGCCGAAGCCCACCGCTAGCAGATATTGTCCTCTTTGGACTTTCCCTTTCGGGCTTTTCCACAAGGTTTTTAAAACGTGTCTGCTAGGAAGAGGTTTCCACACCCTTATAAAGAATGCTTCGTTCCCCTCTCCAATCGATGTGGGATCTCACATCCACACCCCTTTGGGGCCTAGCATCCTCGCTAGCACTCGTTCTCCTCTCCGATCGATGTGGGATTTCATAGTGACAATCCTATTTTCAACTTTTATGTTACCAAATACCAAAGATTACATTAACTCAAAATTAGAAGGCATGCATTGTTTCTTATTCTGCTAAGAAATGAAATGTAATTTATAAACACTTAGTTTCTAAACACATTTGACTTTTGATTGAATACTTCAATTTAGCAATCTTTTCAAACCTTAAAGTTGCTTTATGGATTTTTAACCCTCTAGGTAAGGAGCTGTATTCACGGAATCTAAAGTTACTTGTCCCCTTTTTTGACTGTCCCTCAATCCAGTTACAAACGATCAATAAGGTAATTTGTTCTCGTGATTGAATCCTTCTTCTTCCGTAGATCAATGAGTTGGCCTTTTCGGCACAAATCTTTTAAATTTCAACCTGCTGCTTTTATGCTTTCATGGGGGGCAAAATTTTATTGAACTTTTGGTAAATCTAGGGGATGTATATGGCAGCTAAGAACGGGACGAGTGAGTAGCATCTCATCTTCTTCATGGATAAAACGTTTGGTTTTTCCAAAGAGTGTAATATTTTATTTTATAGCTTTAAAATAAACGTTTTATCCTTTCTTAATATGAGACAGATAAACACCAAATAATCTGTTCTTGGAAAATTGATCTTTGTCTGCTGCACATCCAGTTTAACCGCCCAAGCCCACCACTATCAGATATTGTCCTCTTTGGGCTTTCCCTTTTGGGCTTCCTCTCAAGATTTTTAAAACGTGTCTGTTAGAGAGAGGTTTTTACAACCTTAAAAAGAATACTTAGTTCTTCTCCCCAACTGATGTGGGATCTCACAATCCACCCCTTCGAAATTCCTTAGAAGACTTTTGCTGATTTTCATGATATACATGATTACAGGGTAACAAATCTGGAGTTGAATTTGTGCTGGCAGCCTGGAAACTAAGGTAGGTAGCCAATTATTTTGAATTGCTTGAGGCTTTGGAGTGTTGGGATCCTTTCATTTCTGACTTTGAGGCTTTTCCTTGTGTTAATTCCAAAAGATTATTGATATCTACAGAGACTAAATTGGGTTGAATGCAACCCAAATCACAAGGACTAATATGCCTTGTAATTGGAATTGCATTGGTTCTTTCTGTTGGTATTTTCAATCTATTTCATCATTTGCTTTCAAATTCTGGACGTTGCCTGAGTTATTTAAGCTCTCCCACATCCGTAGAAATTCCCAATATTTATTATTAGCTTGCAGGACATACCTGAAACTTCCTTGGAGGCCACTCATTTCTATTGATGGAAGTACACTCTATGAACTTGATGAAGAGTTGAAAGTGAGAATCAGTAATCCTCTCCGCTATGTTCTTAAGATGGTTTTAGAATAAGTATCTTTTCAAGTTTCTAAAAAATTTATTTCAAGTTTTGTAACCACCCAAGCCCACCGAGATATTGTTTTCTTTGGCTTTCCCTTTCGGGCTTCCCCTTAAGGTTTTTAAAACGCGTTTATTAGGGAGAGGTTTCCACACCCTTATAAAGAATGTTTCGTTCTCCTCTCCAACCGATGTGAGATCTCACAATCCATCCCCGTTCAGGGTCCAGTGTGCTCTCTGCACTCATTCCCCTCTCCAATCGATGTGGTATCTCACAATCCACGTCCCTTCGGGGCCCAGCATCCTCGTTGGCATTCACTCCTCTCTCCGATCGATGTGGGATCTCGCAATCTATGCCCCTTTGGGGCCCAACATCCTTGTTGGCACACCACCTGGTGTTCACCCCCTTTGGGGCTCAGCATCGTCGCTAGCACACTGCCCGGTGTCTTGCTTTGATACCATTTGTAGCAGCTCAAGCCCACCGCTAGCAGATATTGTCCTCTTTGGGTTTTCCCTTTTGGGCTTGTTTTTATAACGCGTCTGCTAGGGAAAGGTTTCTACACCCTTATAAATAATGTTTTGTTCCCCTCTCCAACCAATGTGGGATCTCACAAGTTTTGTGCTGAAACACATTTTCTGATTTGCTCCTTTCTTTTTCAACTACTAACTAAAAACTAAGCTCTCGTTGGATAACCATTTCATTTTTAGTTTTCTATTTTTAGAGATTGTGTTTATTTGCTCATAATTTCTTGAACACAATCTGAATCTTTCTGGAAAAACGATAACGATGATGTTTCTTAGATAGTTTCTTTTTTGTTATATGGCATTCAAATATTTGATTGCTTTCCATTTCTCATCCTATCAGATAGCAAGGCATGCTGAGAGCTGGAGTGTTTCCGCACTTGAAGCAATAACTCAGATATTCATACCTAGTTTTAAAGGAGACTGAGAATTGTTTGCTAGGATGAACACAAACTGCTCCATTCAATTGATTTTATGTTGTGTTTTAAATATTTATATATAAACTTTATTTTGATATAATGTATGGTATGTTTTAAATTCCAGTTTGTTTTATTTCGCAAAAAATATACCTGTCTTTTTGGAGCCATCGAGCCAGCCCGGTCCTTACATAACATGTCAATGCTACAATGCTGCTATAGCATCATAGCACTGTCACCCATCTTTCTTTTTTTTACTAAATCGAGTCGCTATTCTCCCAGGGTATGGACTTCCTCATTTGCCTTACAGAACTTTTTGGTGGTTTGTGTTTTTGTCCAAATTGAACGAAACACCTCTTATCCATTATCAAGTTTGCTCTTTGACGAAGCTTTTCGAGTTTAAGCCTCGCCATCTCCAAGTTGCCTCTTAAACTTATGCCAGTTACATACCATCCATTAGTACAAGTTCCATGACGGATCATCTGATTGTAGACATATATAATGAACAACAAGCTTTTATCAACTATATTTATAACCTTCTAATGTGGATGAATCATTCAAAATTTCCATCATATATCGAATTCTGTTCTCTCATTTTTGTTTTCAGGCAGTTTCTCTCAGAAATTTGGTTTTTTCGAAGACAAATGGAAAATTGCATGTCTTTGCTTTCCCAATATGTTGTACACTCATACTTCATAACGCTCGCCCTTCCTCTGGTTACATGACAGGGTTAACTGCCACCAATTAATGGAAACGCCTGCAGTAGAGACTCCACACAAGCAGAGAGCACTTAGAAGAATGAATTTCTACTAAGAATTTATAAGGTTAGACATTCATTCATTTGCTAGTTTACTCATTTTCCTCCATATATCTCTCTTAGAATTTGTTTTCATAACCCTTTAGTAGTGATTTTGATTATCTAAGAAGAGCGAACACGAACACGAGCACAGAACATGGAAACGACATGGATACATCACGCGTCAAGTTCTGAGAAAGCAGGACACAATCATGTTGGGACATGTTTTTCTTAGAATATGTATAGATTGATATATCAATACTTCTTTATGGATAAAACATGTAAATTTAACATAAAACCAAAATATACTTCACTAGAAACATACAAAGTTAAGTCAATTAACAGTATTTGAATAATTGAAAGATTTAGTTTGCTATGATTAGAGGAAGAAGATTTAGTTAAAGTTGAGATTTGATTGCTGTAAGCATTTTATTTCTTTGCTTTCTTTGTATTGGTCTGCAAGGAGTGTTAATTTGTTCTTCCCCCTATGTGTACTACTCTCTTTAGCTTTCATTTTCTGGATTTTGATGATCTAGTTCGATGAAGAACATTAGATTTGCAGGCTCAATATAAGTAAAACTTGTGGGTAGTACTTCGAGTTTTATATGATCCATTTGATCTTTCATGTCCATTATTTTCCATCTTATTTAAGGAAACTGTCAGCAATCAAACAGCTATTCTACCTGAAAACCCGTTATCAAAGTTATGAAACTGATGTATCTTCCCTTAATTCTTTTTTCCTTTTTTTTTTCTCAGTGTCACGATTGTGCTTGTCTGAGGCGTGTTGTCTATGGCCGCATGCCCGTTGCTTGTCAAAACCCTTTGTCTTGTATCACTTTATTGCTTTCCTTCACTGCTTTCATGATGTATAGCTTCCTTATTGTATTTTCTAAGTATATGATGTTTCGACAGAATCATGTCTACGTCTGGTAGACCTGAAATGCCTCCGAATGTACTGTAGGAGTATGCGACCAGTCGTCAACTCCTCCCACCTAGATTTTGTATGACCGTTTGGCAAAATCACGTCTAGGTTTGCTGGACTTGAATCGCCTCAAAATGTACTATAAGGGGATGCGACTAATTGTCAAATTCTCCCTACCCGGTAAGTTATATGCTATTTAAGTTGTTGTGTTGCCTTTTCCTTGTAGTCATATAACGTTTCTTTCAACCTTGCTTTTAAACTCTCTTTCAAAAATCTCTCTGCCCCATTTTCTAAAACTTTCTTCGTCCGGCTGTAGGTGACGCGATCCCAAATTGGCTTGACTCACTCAATGTTGGGAGTGAATGTCGCACAATCACAAAAGTCCGTTAAGAAAAGTGCAATTGTGACCACTTACCATTAAAATTTACTGTTTCTATTTTATCTGCTGCCATAACTTTTGAGACAATGCTGCATGAGTTAGATCTGTTACTTTTCTTATTGCAAGCTTGACACAATGGTCCTTTGGAGCCTAATGCCATAGCGTTTAAAGTTATATCATGGATTAAAATTGCACATTCATCACCATAAACTGTTCAAGCTTTCTCTAGCCCCTTCTTAATGGACTCTTGACATCTGGGAAGGACTGTTTGATAATTTCAATTCTCTATCTCATTCTAAAATGTTTTGCACTCGCTGCGAACTTGCTTGCAGCACCTCGGCCTCTGTCTTGCCATCTACCACAACCGCCCGTGGAGACGAAGAAATGGCTGATGACAGACAAGCGAGTGGACGTGATTCCAACCACGATACCATTGCCCAGAAAGGTAACGGAATTGTGGCATTGTAATGAGTAAAACATTTTAAAGGGAAAATCCTAATTTGTAATTGATTTCATGTCACTTCCGTAGCAGGCCAGTGGTGAAGATGCTTGGATTGACAAAGATGGAAACTGAGATGAAATTGCTGACATGAAAGGGCGGAAGGTATGTCTCTCCTTTTTTGTGATTTCTTGCTCCTGGTCGGCTTTTACTTTCCCCCTGCTAAGGAAAAAGGGGATATTTCGCAAGTCTTAAAAGGGACATCCCCCCTTTTGTTCTACTTCCATAAAATGGAAAGTAACATCTATAACTATTGCGGCCGACATTTGTTACTTCAAAATAAATTATGGAATAGAAATTTGGAATATATACATCATTTTTTGTTTATCCAATCTCGATCTCACATCGATTGGAGAGAGGAACGGGGCATTCTTTATAAGGGTGTGGAAACCTCTCCCTATCAAACATGTTTTAAAAACTTTAAGGGGAAGTCCAAAAATGAAAGCCCAAAAAGGATAATATCTACTGGCGGTGGACTTGGGCGGTTACAAATCTAATGCTATATTTAAAGCTATGTGTAATGCAGTAGATGTTGGATTTCTAAATGTATTTAAGATATTGTTTGAAGGAACTAGCTTTATGTAGCCCCCCACAGAAAAAAGAAAAAGGGAAAAGAAAGGAGGTGCAGAAAATTACATAAAGCTGGGAATTGCTGTCATTTCATAATGACACAAGATGTTGAAAGTGCCTAACTCCAATATTGATATTGATGGTGAACACTTGTCTCTGAAACGAATGCCTCCATCTCTTTAATCCTGAATATGGGCATGAAATGATTGAATTTTGCGATATCTGTTTTTCTCCGTGAATAGGATTGGTTTCCATGCTGTAACTATCTAAGTGCACCGCTAGCAAATATTGTCTGTTTTGGCTCGTTATGCATCGTCGTCAGTCTTACGGTTTTAAAACGTGTCTACTAGAGAGAGGTTTCCACACCCTTATAAGAAATGCTTTGTTTCCCTCTCCAACCAACGTGAGATCTCACAATCCACCTTCCTTGGGGGCCAGCATCCTCTTTGGCATACCACTCAATGTCTGGCTCTGATACCATTTGTAATGGACCAAACCCACCGCTAGCAAATATTGTCCCTTTTGGGCCCATTATGCATTGCCGTCAGCCTCACGATTTTAAAACGCGTATGCTAGGGAGAGGTTTCGACACCCTTATAAGGAATGTTTCATTCTCCTCTTGGACTAATGTGGGGATCTCACAATAAGTTATTTTGTTCATCACCAAAGTTGTTTCTTTTCGACACACGTTGTAAGTCAGTTCGATTTAGTTTGGTTCTGGAACTGAGATAGTTTCGTTTGGGCTGGTGTGATTCATCGGATTGTTTACTTACGAAAGTCCATTGATTTATTGAACAGGTCGAAGGTCGATGAATCTGAATCAGATGCAGATAATGGGGAAATTGATGAGTCCCGGATTGATGCTTCAATCATATGCTTGGTTTTGTCATTTCGGGTGTGGAAAGGCACAGAATTGAGGTATGATGATCTGGTCCACCATCCCTCATAATATAAGGTACCTCTTTTGTTTGTTTCCAACAAAATGATTGCTGTTCATTACCCACAAAAAAGAAAAAGAAAATGAACAGAAAGTAGAGTGTTTAGTCAGTTTCAAGTGGTGGTGTGATTTGATGATCTGAAGCAGACCCTTTACAGAGCTTCTTTTGACTGCTAGTTTAGGGTACACCGAGAAATTCAAGAATTTGAATGCATCTGCCATTTGGCCCATTTCATTCTTCGTGGTCACATTATAAATCTTTTATTATAAATTCTCACATGATGACAGCGTTACTGCTTCACACCCAATCAGCTCCATCTAGTTTTATTCATTTATAGCTATGAGTTGAATGAATCTGTCGCTAATATTTTGTTTTAAAAATATCTTTACGGTTAGGTTTGGATTAACTGTATTTTGTTTCAAAAATATTCTACTGGTGAGTATTTTGTTTAAAAAATACCTTATAGTTAATTTTGGATGAGTCTGCAAGTATTTTGTTTCAAAAATACCTTTTATCGTTAGTTATGGATGAAATTGCTAGTATTTTGTTTAAAAAATATCCTTACCATTAGTTTTGGATGAGCCCTTTAGTATTTTGTTTAAAAAGTACTCTTACCGTTAGTTTTGGATGAGCCCGCTAGTATTTTGTTTCAAAAATACCCTTACCGTTAGTTTTGGATGAAATTGCTAGTATTTTGTTTCGAAGATGCTCTTACCGTTAGTTTTGGATGAGCCCGCTAGTACTTTGTTTCAAAAATATTCTAACAGTTAGTTTTAGATGAACTTGCTATTATTTTGTTTCAAAAATATCTTTACAGTTAGTTTTGGATGAAACCGCTAGTATAAATTTCAAAAGTACCCTCAAACTTTTAAAGTAGTTTAAAAAATGCTCCTACTACTTTAGATCATTAAAGATTAAAAGATACCCTTATAATCCTCAAAGCTAAATCTAGTTTTATTTATTTTATTATATTTTGTCTAAAAATACCTTCAAATTTTTTAAGCAGCTTCAAAAATTCCTCAAGTTAAATCATTAATTTTTTTTTAAAAGTTAAAAAACTTGTATAAAAAATAAGCCTAAACTAGATCTGATTTTACTTATTTTATTATACTTTGTCTCAAAAAATATTTTTAAACTTTTAAAAACTTGGTCGCATAGTCACATGAAAATCGATCGAGGACAGCTTTATTGTTTCAAATTAAATAAATTAGATCTAGTTTTATTTTTGAATTATTGAGATTATAATCATGTATTTGATAAAACTCTCAGCAAGTATAACCTAAGAGGTAATTTATGTAATAATGTTTCATTAATCATGTTACATGAATTATTCTATTTTTAGTTATTTTCATATAATAATAATAAATACTACCATATATCCATACCTTCCTCATTTTTTAAATATTTATTTTATTCCTTATACTTTTAAAAACGGGCCATTTTGATCCCTATGTGTAGAATTCGACCTAAATTTATTTATAATAGAAACGTTAATTTATTTTGATTAGTAATAAATCTATAAATTTAAAAAACATAAATATTTAAAGAATTAAATTTATAATTTTAAAAGTTTAGACAAATTTGATAAAATAAAATAAAATAAATCATAGTTTTCTCCCAACCCCTTTTGAGTTGGCTAAAGGAAAGCAATGCCTTTTTTTAAAAAAATAATAATAATAATAATAAAATAAATAAATAAATATAAGAGTAATGATAATAATGTAAAGTTGGAAGTGCAAAACAGCTAAGTATTTTTTATAGGTGAGATTGGGTGATTGAAAGGCGCAAATCAAGGAATCCAACACATTTCAAACCCTATTTCTTTAATCATTTTAGCCCTTCCTTTGTGTTTTCTCATTAAAAAACTAAAAAAGTTCGGCCTCTAAACGTCCCGTTTCGTATCTAAACTTGAGTTCAATACGTAAGTTTACTCATCTCAAACTACGATCGAGCCGTTTAGTCTCTAAACCTTAAAATTTTGTTCAGATTAAATTTGTAATTTTGAAAGTTCAGGGACTAAATACACAAAATCCTTAATGAACTTGTTTTTTTAGTGTAAGTTTAATTTGTTCATCCAAGATATAGGTGTCCAATCCTACATTCGAAACCTTTTAAAATTGTGACGCTGACGAAGATATGTAACGGATCAAAGCGAACAATATCTGCTAACGGTGAGCTTAGGTTGTTACAAATGATATTAGAGCTAGACACCAAGCAATGTGATAGAAAGGACGCTGGACCGTGAGATCCCATGTGTTAGGAGGAGAATGAAGCATTTCTTATATGAGTGTGGAAATCTTTCCCTGACAGATATTTTAAAACTGTGAAACTGATGGTGATACGTAACGGGTCAAAGTGAACAATATCTACTAATAGGTGATGTGCCAGCGAGAACACTCGCATCTAAGAAGGGTGGAGTATGAGATCCCACATCCAATAGAGAGAAGAAATGAAGTATTTTCTCGGGAAAATTCTTTATTTCAATTTCATTTAAAATCAAATTTAGTTTATTTAAATTTTTGTTAAATGGAAAAGGATTTTTTTTTTTTAAAAGGGTAAATTTGTGGGCAAGAAAATATGTAATTTATTAATCAAAATTAGTTTAGTAATAATAAAAAATAAATTGAATAAAAGCAAGACTCTTGATTGGTTGACATGTGATGTGATTAATAATTTATAATCAAACAAAATACAACTCAATCCCACTTATTTTTTCAAAATTCAAATAATATTATTTAACAAACCATAATAAATTATTAAATTTTTTTGATAATTTAGACACGTACATTGTAAACCCATAAATAATTTTTTAAAATAATTAAGTTAATCGATAATTATGTTTAATATATATATTTAAATAATTGATGATTTTTATTAGATACAAATTTATGAACGGTTTAAAAGAAAACATTTACTCCCATTGTCTTCATATGAATTTCTCCCTTTTAATAGGAAAAAGAGAGTTGGCCAAACCCATTGAGAGAGCTCAAATTCTCTCTCTCTGCCTCTCTCTCCGCCTCTCTCTCCGCCATTATCAAAGCTTTGAAGCAATGCTTCCATCTTGCTTCAGCCACTCCGCCATCTCCTCCACACTCTCCAATGATCCAATTCCGCCACCGCTCTCCATAATCAGCTGCATTTACCAAACCAATCTCTTCAATTCCCCCACTCTCCTCACCCTCACATGGTCCCTCTCTCTCTCCTCCCACTCTCTTTCCCTCCACTCCTCTCCCTCCGCCTCTCTCTCCGCCTCTCTCTCAACCTCTCTCTCTCTCTCCCCTTCCTCTTTCTCCCTCTTCTCTCCCACCTCCAAATCCATCTCCCTCCATAACTCCCACAAGCTCAAAATCCATTGGGATTTCTCTACTGCCAAATACACCCCCAACTCTGCTCAACCCATTTCTTCATTCTACCTCGCCATTTCTTGTAATGGGAAGCTCCAATTCTTCCTCGGCGACCTGGTCGACGAATTTTCCCGGCGGGTTAAGGCCGTCGTCCTGCCGGAGGAGTCCACGCTCTTGTCCCGTCGGGAACATGTGTTTGAACGGCGAAATCGCTATGTTTCGAGGGCTGAATTCTTGGGGTCGCTAAGGGAAATCGCGGTGGAGCTCTGCGGCGGAGTTCTGAAAGTTGCCGTCGATGGAGAGGTTAAGCTCGCCGTGAAGCGGCTGGCGTGGAAATTTAGAGGGAATGAGAGGTGGGTTATGGTGGAAATCAAATTCCATGGCTGATTTCATTAATTGATTTCTTAATTTTGCTAATTTGTTGTACATTAGGTTTTTTATCGCCGGCAACGCCGTTGATTTCTTTTGGGATGTCTTCAATTGGGTCAAAAGTGAAGGCGGTAGCGGGCCCGGAGTTTTTGTTTTTCAAATCGGAGAAGGCGGGGTTTGGCCGGAGTACATTGGAGCCGAGGGGAAGTTGATGAAGCGGAGCTTGTCGTCGGCGGCGGCCGGGAATGTATCGACGCCGGCAGCAGCGTTTCCAGCGTTGTCGCCGGCGGGTTCAAGCTCGAGTGTGTTGCAGTGGGCGGAGGAGAGCAGTAGTGACGGCGGGAGGAGCTCGTGTTCGTCGTCGTCGAGGTCGAGCGGAATCAATGGCGGATTCTCTCTGTCGTTATACGCTTGGAGGAAGGACTGAAACACATAACCTCTCTTTTCTTTTCTTTTTTTTATTTTTTATATTTTTTTTCTGTGTGGAAAAAAAATGCCTTTTATTTTTATTTTTTTATTTTTTCTTTTGATAATTTGACTTTCTTTTATTTGTAATATATACTTTTTTTTCCCTATATTATCGTGTAAATAATTAATCTAAATTTCGTGGATCGATCCGTACAAGTACTTTTATGATTTGAGTTAAATAATTCGATTGGTCGGAATGTTATCAGGTCATATGAACACCCATACTAATAAAGATTATCACTTTTGTGCGAGCCGATTGAGTCGATTGATGCAACAAAATAATGTTTAAATGAAATATATTTAAAAAGGCTCGATGACCTAATGAGTCAACTTAAATTTAATCGTAAATTTGTATATTTAAAGGAATCTTTCATTATTTTATTTAAAAAATTTATAATACATATTTTTAAAAAAAAATAATTGATAAATTTATTTTGTTCGAAATATACAATAAAACAGCCTAAATTCACTCGGCCCAAAAAAAAAGTTAATTGGGCCAAGGCCCAATCGGGGCCAGTCCAACCTTATATTCGTATTCTTTTTTATATAAAAAAAAATAATTTACTATTTATTTCACTCTAAAAAACATGTTATTCTATATGGTCTCTAAGTTGGTCATGGCTTCCACTAATGAGATCGAGAGCTTCGTTTATATCGTTATGCCTCTCGAGCAAGCCAAGCGTTAGGATAGTTTGCGACATCTTCTCATTTTCTCCAAATTCTGTTTAATAATGAATTTGAATCCTCGAGAAAAAGAAAAAAAAAATACCGAATATTTGTTTATTGTTAAACTACATGTCGTGTGAAAGGTATGTAGAATCGGGTTTGTAAATAGCTTAACAAATATGTTCGAGGAATTCACCGAACCTTTTGATAAGCTATGCTATTTTGAATGTATAGGAAATATGGACTTATCGCTCAACACCGAAGGTCTCTCATACTCCTTAAACCATTACCACTGTGACATGATTAAAGCAGATATCTAATCATTTCTTAAACGGTTGAGTAGACAACTCGTTCCTTTCGAATTCAACTGTTATACAAATTTCTAGAGGCATTCAAATGA